TAAGTGGGCCCATGTTACTCAATGCCTGTAGAGATCAGAAGAGGGATCAGATCCCCTGGAACTAGAGTTACAGATAGTTGTTAGCCACTGTGTGGGTGCTGGGAATTGAACCTGGGTCCTCTGCAAGAGGGTTCAGTTCTCTTGGTGGTTTTATGAGCATGTCCCCCATAGGCTCCAAGTATTTGGACATTTTGTCCCCAGTTGGTGGTGCTGTTTTGGGAGGTCTTAGAAGGTGTGACCATGCTGGAGAAAGCACGTCCCTGGAAGCTGGCTTAGAGAGTTCATAAGCCTTGCCGGATTTCCAGTTCCCTCTGCTTCCTGTACCTTCTTGAAGATTCTGCTCAGTCTACCTCTGCTGCCATACCTCCCCACCATGATGGACTCTGATCCCTCTGGAACTGTAAGCTAAATAAGCTCTTCCCTCTATAATTTCCCTTAGTCACTGTGTTTTATCACAGTAACAGAAAAGTAACTAATATAATGCTCTTAACTTAATGCTGAGCTATCTCTCCAGCCACCACACACACACACACACACACACACACACACACACACACACACACACACACACATTTTCTATTCCTTCTTCCTTAGATTGTCAGCATTACCCTTGTTTGCCTCCACTCGTTAAAATTATACCTCTGAACTGTGGCTGATTTCATTGTAAGTGCTTGGAGGGAGGCACTCTGAATATAAAGCTTACTAAATTATGAATGACTGACAGTTCCCCCAAGAGTATTTGAAATTTAAAAAGAGTTTATTAACACAGTAAATTTATATGGATCGAGACTTGGGTGACAAAGAAAAATTGAGGGAAATACAGTGAGTCTGAGTAAAGGAACATCTGCAGAACGTCTACGTTCATGTTCCACCTGCCAATCATCCCACTCCTGCAAGAGACTGGCGCAAGGAAGGGCCAGCTGAACACGGTTCAGGTCCAGTTCTCACCCTGATCTTGGCAGACCTCCCACCTTCCTTTCAGAGCCTTTCTGCCTCATCCAGAAACTCCGCCCTCTCCCCAGCACCAATTATGCTCTTTGTCTCTCACTCCTACAGGTCTCAGCTTGCTTTCCTAGTCCCTCAAGACAGTTATCTCCATTTGCTTTCCCACTTTCATAATTCTGTAGAGTTGGGTGCCACAGTGCTGTTTGTTAATTACCATTATTAC